CTTAGTCTCTGAAACTCTTGCTTCACTCACCCCTGGATTGCCGAATTGTAAGCAAGGGGCCTAAGGGAGGGGGAGCGAGGTTGTTGGCCTCGGCTGTTTCCCAGGTGGAATGACAGCTGTTTTGTCGCTTTGGAAGGAAGAGGGGAAGAGAGGGCCAGGACGAGCCTTCCCCCCGCCCCCATCTTAACTCTAGTGTTTCCCTCTATGGTCGATTGTAAATAAAAGAAGCAAGGGAAAAGAATCTTTTGCCGTATCTCTCCCTGAGTTGCTACCAACTCCCTTGTGAACGGGATGAGTGTGGGAGTTGACTGTGAATGGCTCGCTGGCTGCCGGAGTCCAGCCCTGCGACAAGTGCCTGACACCAGTCCAGTAGAAACCAACTGCAACAGCTCTTATTAGAGTCCGTAATTGGCAGCCTTTGACTAAGCTCGCTCGCTCTCTCTCTCTCTCTCTCTCTCTCTCTCTCTCTCTCTCTCTCTCTCTCTCTCTCCCCTTTTCTCCTCACCCCCACCCTCCCTGTGATCTGTGTAGAAACCTAATCCTGTTGGGAAGTGAAAGGAAAATAATATGAGCTCTTTCCCCCTCTTTGAGTTAAATTCCTAGCTAAGCAATAGAGTGCATAGGCTTTTCAGTTTGGAAATCAGGTTTGACAATCAGCCCAGGCTGTTGCCCACTTTAGCATCACGGATTTTTACGTGCAGGTATCCAAATGCGCCTGGAACATAGACCACCAGCCTATGGCTCAGTGGGGAAGCAGGGGGAGGGAGGGGAAGGCTGAACCCAAGTGTGGCTTCATAAGTAGGCTTGTTTTCTGATTGGTGTTAGGGGTAATGGTGGTCACCTTTATTCCACTTTGAACTTCAGTGCCTTGGGTATTAAAGCCTAAACCATATTAATAAGATCTGCCCATTAAGTACCTTTGAAATGAAAGGTATTTGAGATGGACGCATAAGTGAAACCTTATTGACGTAATTTATATATCTAAGAGGATTTCACTCAGGCTGGCAAGGTAGCGTTTCTGCAAATAAAACATAGCAAATGCAATGCCGGGCAGCCTGCCAGCAAGAATATGGATAGCAGAGATCATGGCAGGAGCCTCCTTCGCTCACAGACAATCCCATTTCAAGACAGCCTCCTAGTACTTGCAAAATAAATGATCGAAGCGGTTATTTCCAATGGGTGTGTGGGGGGGTGGGTGTTGAGAAGTTATCCTTTCTAAAATAAATACACTATCTGACTGCTTGAACTTTGCAACTTGGGCAGAGGGGAGAGTTGGCAATATAGCCTGTATCTAGCATCTAATTGTTTCTTTGTGAGCGTTTGAATCTGGGCTAGTGGAAGAGAAAGTTACCAGTCAGGAGAAGGCATTCTGCAACTGTAACCATTTGTCGGAATTCTGTTCTCTCGGAGTCAGGAGTCCCCTCCCGGCTTAGAGCTCGGCATTTTTTTTTTGTGGAGGGAGGGGAAAAGGGAGGGAGGTAAGTCCCGGGGAGGGAGAGAGTGAGCGAGCGAGATAGAAGGAAAGAGCGGATGTGGAAGGGTTTGGGATTCAACCCTTGCCTAGAGGGCGCAAACAACCGTCCCATATCCAAGTCTTACTAAGGGCGCCAAAAGTTCCTTATGATAATACTGCTAACCGCAGAAAGCTAGAAATTGCGGGTCAGCCTGCTTGCTGCAACAAACGCAGTTTTGAAAGCAGAAAATATCAGCATTAACTTTTCTTCTCTTTCTCTTTTTATTTTTATAAAAGCCAGGGCAGGGTGCCAGCGGTTTCCCTTTACTCCTCTCACTTCCCACAACTGTCCTACTGTATAAATCTTTGCAGATTAGAAGCCAAAGGGACAGAAGCAGATGTGAAATGTATCTTCCACAATATGAAAAGCAAGATTGTAATCGGCATTCAGAAGAGGGCTTCCCAGTGGCGCGCTCTCTCTCTGTTTCTCTCCCTCTCTCTCTCTCTCTCTCTCTCTCTCTCTCTCTCTCTCTCTCTCTCTCTCTCTCTCTCTCTCTGTGTCTCTGTCTCTCTGTCTCTCTCTCTGTCTCTCTCTGTCTCTCTGTCTCTGTCTCTCTCTCTCTCTCTCTCTCTCTCTCTCTCTCTCTCTCTCTCTCTCTCTCTCTCTCTCTCTCCCTCCCTCCCTCCCTCCCTCCGTCTCTCTCTGTCTCTGTCTCTGAATAGTAACTTCTCGCTATACCTCAGTTACATGTCAGGACTGTTCAGCCAGAAACTCGCATCAAGGAACGAGGAATCTTGGAGTTCATTGAAGTTCCCAGTCCCAATAGAGATGGCTCTCTCTGTCTCTGTCTCTGTCTCTGAGTCTCTCCCCCTCCCCGTCTGTCTGGGTTAGGACCAATGGCTAAGACTTTGCCAATGACTGATGAAATCGGATTCCTTGAAGTCATTACCGGTGTCTCCCCTCCCCCTAATAATCTTGGCTTTTCCCAAGGTTTTTGGGGTGGAAGGCAGGATGGAGATGGGCTCACTAGCATTTAGGGAACCATAAACTAACTGGAGAGTAAGTCTTGGAAATAACTTTAGACAGATGCTGAATATTTTAGAAGACTCGTATGTGTGCGTTATCCTTTCCAGTAGCACATCTCTTATTTTTAGATCACAATGAGAGGGGGCTTGAACCACCGCATTGCATGTACTCAAGTGGGTTGCCCCCTGGACTTTTTTTTTTTGAACAGCATTTTAGCTACTTTCAGGCACCTTGGAGCTTTGTGCATTTTGAAGGCTGTCCTGTGCCAGAGCCTTCCAACATGAACCTTTCTTCCTTTTCCCTTGGAGTGAGCTTATTAATGTTTTGAGTACATGGCTGCAGATTTGGAAGAAAGGAAAAGAGATGGGAAGGAGGAGGAAAGAGATTCCCCCTCTTTTTTTCCAGAGGATATGCTAATGTTCGAGGCTGCAGAGATTTTTTTTTAAATCAACTAGGAAAACTAGCTTATTGGCACCTTTCCAAATTAAAAAAAAAACTTCTCTCCCTGCCAAAACAATACTTTCACGATCTAGAATCATAGCAGGAAGCTCCTGGCTGTTATAAGTATGGGGGGAGGAGGGAGGGAAGGAAGAGGAGCTGGGCAAGACATCCCTAGAATTGGATAAGAGTTACAGGAAAATTCATTTTCAAGAAATATCACTTTTGGATTTTAAATGACCATCTCTAAACACACTTTAGGGGCCATACTAGCTTCCTCTATTAAGACAGCCCCTCCCTCCATCCTCTACTTTCACTTTTATGCCTCCCCTCCCTTTAAAAATGTACTAGGTGGGTAAAAAAATATACGTAGTTGTTTCTGAGCTTGGTAGAACTTTGAGTGTCTCCTCTGGGGTCAAGCCCACTAGTTTCACAGGGCCAGGACATTTATTAATCCTATACTACTTTTCTTCAGCGCCACCCCCTTCCTCCCTCCCCTCCCTTTTCCTAACTCCTCACTTTGGCCTTGAGATGAAGGGTTCTTCTAAAATAGTCACCTTCCCCAGCTGAGGAAAGAGATAAGCAGGGTAGGAGCCTGTAGAAAGTTTTCAGGGTCCCAGTGCGTAATTAACTAGCAAGTTCAATCACTGCTCCCAGCGAGGGTCGGATCCCAGGAGTTTTCCCCCAAAGCTTTCAGCTGTAGTTGGAGGGAGGACAGTAGACAAGACACTCTTAATATGTATGTGTGTGTATGTGTAAAATACACACACGTATATGTGCTAGTATGGAACAGTGGAATGCACACAATGCGTGGATACACACGTACGTCGTCCTGTGGTGTGCGTGAAGCGGAGAAAGTTGCTCCCGCGTGTTCCTTAAAGGTCTTCGGCTGACCGGGTGATGGGGGATGTTGAAAACTAGTTCTGTTTGCTTAAGCACCTCGTGTGGCCGCCCTCGGTGCCGGGGAGAAGCGACGGGGTGTGTGTGTGTGTGTTCACATTGCGTTCCCTTGTCATATACAAATGTACAGATACATACAGTGACAGAGAGAGGAGGAGGACGAGGAGGAGGAGGAAAAGGAGGAGGAGGAGGAGGAGGAGGAGGAGGAGAAGAAGAAGAAGAAGAAGAAGAAGAAGAAGAAAGAAGAAGAAGAAGAAGAAGAAGAAGAAGAGAGAGGAGGAGGAGGAGGAGGAGGAGAGGGAGGGAGGGCTAGTCGATCTGCACTGCAGCCGCCCCCCTCCCCTCCTGTCCCCTCCCCAGTCCTCCCCCCTTCCCTCTTCTCCCCACCCCCCATCGGCAGCAGCCTGCTAGCTGCTAGGTTCAGCTCTGGCTCTGCTCCGCTCCGCTCTGCTGGGGTGGCGGCGGCGGCGGCAGCGGCAGTGGAGGTGGCTGTGGCGGCGGCAGTGGCGGTGGTGGCTGTGGCTGTGAGGCGCAGAGCGGCGGCGGCAGCGGCAGCGGAGGAGGAGGAGGAGGAGGAGGAGGAGGAGAAGGAGGAGAAGGAGAAGGAGGAGAAGGAGGAGGAGGAGGAGGTGGTGGTGGTGGTGGTGGTGGCCGTGGTGCTGGAAGAGGTGGTGGTGGAGGAAGAGGAGGTGGTGGTGGTAGTGGTGTTGGTGTTGGTGAAGGAGGAGGAGGTGGAGGAGGAGGAGGAGGAGGAGGAGGAGGAGGAGGAGGAGGAGGAGGAGGAGGAGGAGACCAACAGCTCTGGCTGGCTCCCGGGGACTGGAGGAGCCTGTGGGCTGACGCGGGAAAGGAAAAAAAAAAGCCGAGGGGGTGGGTGGGGGGAAGTGTGCACTATGCCTTTAACGCCTGGGTACAGTAGCCCTGCCTAGCGCAGTGTAGGGAAACTCTAGGCGGGGTGAAAGTTCAGCCCATGGAGCGGCAGTGAGCGAGCGCTAGCTGCAGTTTGAGCAGAGTTGGAAATGTGAAAGCAAGAAGCGGGCTTGATTTTTTTTTCTCCTCTCCCTCCCCCCTTCCTCCTCCTCCTCCTCCTCCTCCTCCTCCTCCCCTCCTCCTCCTCCTCTCTTTCTCTCCCTCTCTTTTCTCTTTTTTCACACACACACGCACACCTTCAAACCACACACACACACATACACACACTCACACACAAGCACACACACACACGTACACACACACACACACACACACACACACACACAAGCCCCCACAGCAGTTATGTATTCTCCGCTCTGTCTCACCCAGGTAAGCAGATGTTTGGATGCCGGGGGTGGGGGGTGGGGGAGAGGTTGGGCGCGCGGGGGGAGGGGGCGGGCGCGGGAGGGGGTGGGGGGCGGCGGTGGACAATCGGGCTGGTTCTGCCTGCTCTGTGCATGTGCCTGCCTCCCTGCCTCCCTCCCTCCCTCCTCCCTCCCTCCGGGTGTGCCTGGCTCTGTGCGTGTCTCCCTCTCGCTCGCTCTCCCTGCGTGTGGGAGAAATACAGCTTTAAGAAAGTAACTTTGTTTCCATTCGGTTGCATTCGCCTTCCACGGCCATTTGTGCGGGCACCGGCACATGGCTAATGGCGCCCACTTATTAATGGTTTAATTAATATGGGGGGGGGAGTCCAGTGCAGAAGAGAGCTGTGCATTCTGGCGATCCGCACGTGTTGAGCCGGGTCCGAGCCCCTGTCACTCCTAGCCAGCTGAAATCAGGACGGGGAGGTCTTGGGATTAGGAGCAGACTCGGATCCTCAGGCCAGGGTATGGGGGCTGAGGACCCAGGGAAAGTGGTATCCTCTTTCTCTCCTGGGACGGAAGAGATTTTGAAAAACAGTGCAATCGCAACGCCCCGAAGCGTGTAGGCAATTTGGGGGATTTTGCCTCTGAGAAGAATAGCACCCCCTTCCCTTCTCCAAACCCCCATCCTCCCTCCCCAGCCCTCCAACTCTACTTTTTTGGCTTTGCTTTTGGGCGATCTGGGTCCCGCGGTTGCCAGGAGGGGAGAGGAGTTTCCAGGAGGCGAAGGGTCCCTTCCTGTCGCTGTACCCCGATCGATCGTTCTCCCCAGGCTAGGATTACGGGGACGTCAATCCTTCTCTGCGAAAACGGATTTTGTAGACCCGCGCGGGCCCTATCACTTGCTGGGGGGTGGGGTGCCCATCTCCTTTGGGTCTCCCCGCCTTCTCTACCTTTTTAATTTTTCTTCCTGTTTAAGAATTTTTTTTTTAAATGAAACTTTTCGGTGCGTGTGCGCCGAGAAAACGCAACACTAAAAAAAGTTGCGTTTTGCCTGCTGGAGTTTGGTCAGTTTCTTTTGGCTTGTTCATTTCACTCCCGTTGCTCAGGAAGAGCCGGTTGTCTGTTCGCGGAGTGGGACTGTCGGGTTGCCGGCCGGCCGCCCTTCCCCGAGCGTCCAGCCTCAGACTCGCTCCCTCTCTTCTCTTCTGACAGACTCTCTCTCCTCTGAGCTGGGGCTGCCGTGGCGGCCGCGCCTCTCTACCTTCACTGCCTGCTCTGGACTTCGGGCAACTTTTTCTTTCTGCCTAACTCTCTGTTCACCCCCTCCCCCTTCTCTTCCCCCCCCTCAACCCCTCCCCCTTCCCCATGCTCCCCTCTACTCCCTTCAAAATATGGCTTATTCCTGGCTTCAGCTTGGCTCATGGAGAGGATGTATTATTTATTTTCATAAACTCAAAGGCACGAAGTCAAAGTGATTTTTTTTTTAAAAAGAGGGCAAGTCATCTTGCGGCTTAAGTATCTCTTCTGGACATTGACTTGCCCCAGGTGTTTTATTCAAATAGTGATTATTCAGATCTCCCTTCTAAACCCCCCCCCAACAGTTCAGACATTAAACTACATGCCTTCAATTAGCTGGAAATAACGGTTTAACTTGAACTACCTCATGGAGGACCAGAAACTGAGCATTTGCTTTTTCCTTGTAGTCCCGGGGATTCATTTTCTATATGCCAACTTTATCATTCCTGTATCTCACAGGTATAATAATAATAATACTAATAATGGCTATTTAATCTCAGAAGAGTCCAGTGCATATCTGGTTGATATTGTACATTTTTGGTATTAAAGTATTGCGTCAATATTGGAGATTCATCCTTTTTGATCTTTGGAAAAAGTTTTCCTACAAACTTCTGGGATTTTAGTTACTCCGAGGAAACTTTCCCAGCACTTTGGCTGGGCTCACCGTTGCACTGGAGTTAAGGATGTGGTTCAAGTAGAGGAGATTTTAAATGAGCCCCTGGAGCTGGAGTGACAAGGCTCAGATTCTGAAGCCTGGGTCTGGCCAGAGTTTAAGCCACAGGTACAAATTGAGTCAGATAGCACTCTGGATACACAGGTTCTCAGCTCTGTCCATCGGCCCATTTGGAATGGCATTTGGAAAAAACCTACTTCATGGTTATTATTGAGGGCCTTTCTCCTCCTTTGTAGGCCCAGTAATACATTCAGAAAATCTAAAGATGGTTTTCTTTTGATTACTGAACTATTATCTCATTATGTAAACTTCGTTCTTGGCGGCATATTGGGGAAGGAGTTAAATAGATTCAGCAGGCCTCTTCTGGAAAAGCAGCAGAGAATCACTTATGTGTTTATGAAGAAAATGTAAGCTGAATGGTCCCTATAAACTGTTTCATTTGACTTCCTTCACTTTCAAAAATTAGATAATAATTTTATTTAAGGCTCTGGTACATTTGGAAAAGTTTAGGAACCATTTTAAAAAGAAAACCTTCCTAAACAGCTTACTACTGATTAAAAAAGAAAAAAAACTGGTCCAGAAAACACTGTGAAAAGACTGCAATTGGAAGGACAGGGTCCATGTACCTTGTACAGTGTTTTTGGACACTCTGACCAGGCCAGCAAAGGCTGCCTGAAGAATACAGCCAGGCATGGTATGCACAAACATTGATAATGCCACACAGTGCTAGTCCGTGAGCGATTTATAGGTGAGCCCTGGCCCAGTATTGGATTCCAGAAATATCAACCGATAAAGGTTCTTAGTTTCCATCAGATCAATGCTGTAGAGACTGATTCCGATTATGATAGGTCTGGAAACTGAAGGTTTTAAATTTTTTTATTTTTATCAATAGCACTTAGCTTTGCTTCCTGAGTATGTATGTGCACATATAAAATAGTCTTTGTTTTCGCTGGACGATATTGGAATATTGCTGAGCTTAAGATCGTATTTGTGATGATATAAACATGATTTAAAAAAACCAAATTGCCACTTAAAAATTAGTAACAATAACCACGTATGTTGAAGTTAGTGATACTGTTCAGCTTTTCAAGATTGAGCTATGTGATAGTTTCTGTAAAGAGAACATTTTATTCTTTGTGTCTTTTGTATATTTTCTAAACCTTATTTGAGACAAAATAGATTTAATTTTTTTTAACTTTGTGATTTTGTGAATGAACCCAGGCAAAACAAAACCACCTCCTCGAGGCCTTTGAGGGAAAATAAAATCCAAGTACTTTTGATATAAAACTAAGGGGCGAATTCAATTTTAATAACTAGTAAAAACATGTCTATAGTATTTTCCAGTTAGTGTACGTTGAGATGGAACTGGGTTGTATGCGCAGGTAGGGATGATTGGAAAGTGACCTGGGAGCGCTACACACTTAGGTCATATTGTCATTTCCCATTTAAAAGTCACTTCAGAATATTGTAAAGTGTTTTTATGATTAATCATGCTTTTCACTGAGCTTTACCATAAGCTATGAATTGCTTGGAGCTAAGTTATTCTTTGCCCTATAAAATGAAATGGGACTGAGATCTTTAAAGTGGAGGGGATGTGTGTGTGTGTGTGTGTGTGTGTGTGTGTGTGTGTGTGTGTGTGTTGTATGTGTGTGTGTATGAAAGCTCACTTTGGAGTTTAAAGCAGACTGAGTTCTTGCTTCCAGAATAGCACCGAGCTTTGGCCCAACACGTTCTGGCTATAAGAAAGTCCACCAGTGGGAAACACTGTATTAGGCATATGATTTAGATAGTTCAGAGTTTTTTTTCCGAATATGTGTCCAGAATTTAGGGATGTTTAAATACCTTGCTGTTGGAGGTGGAACTTTTATATGAGTCTGAGTGTACCTTAGTTGAGAACTTTAACTTCAAAGGAGAAAGAAGGGAAGGAAAGGAGCTTTTATAAGAGCAATGAACTGAAGTCTCTCAAGCACAGAAACATTTTGGTGGTTCTCTCTCTCTTTTTTTAAATGGTTTCTTATGGCTCCCGATGCTGCTCTTACTATAGATAGGGCTCTGTCAAGCTGTTTCTCTGCCACCGAAAGCAGGAACATATATTGTGCCTGCCTCTACTCTTAAAAAAATTTCTTACTGAAAAGAGAACATTTCTCAAAACTTACGGGAAATACTAGGCCCAACTTGCCCAGAAGTGGAAAAAATTAGATGCCCCTGGCCTAAATGATTTATTTAATAAATATCCTATTAATACTCATTTATACTTAGGACCAGTTTTGTACTAACTTGGCTAATTTTCCTTCATCACAGTGCCTAGCATTTTCTTTAACCCTAACTCTACCCACCACCAAATGTATATATGAATTTTAACCTGTTGGCCTATAAAGGGCACGTGTTGATTAGATTATGAAGCTGAGGTAATATTTCAGCATTGATGACAGAGTGTGTGTGTGTGTGTGTGTGTGTTGAGGGGATGTCTAATTGCTTGGGACTTCAAGATATATATTCCTTTAGAGGACCATTAGAAAGTATATTTTAAAATGAAAGCATATTTTAGAACATTAGCGTGCCCCTCCTCCTCACTGGTACAACCCAGAAACTCTTTCTGTGTATGTGTATTTTAATCCTTACTTGTTTGAAAGTAAATACATTATTTTATTCAAGAAAAAAAATTTTTGGTGGAGTCATTTGAGAACAGCCGTATATTAAGGAAGCATTCTGTGGTTTCAGAAAGCCTTCTGTAGGTTCTACTTCTATATATCTTATGGGTTTATTTTCTTGGAAGATATCAAGTGTTGTCACTGAATTAATTGGCATTATAAAGTAACACAGATAATCATACTCTATTAAATTCAACTTACTTGTTGGGTACTTTATAAAACTTAAATGTATAGCCCTTTATTTTTAACAGTATATTTATCAAAATATCCTAAACTTGAAAAACAGTGACTTTTTCAATTCCTAGCAAGACAACCTGAAATATTTTTTTTTTTACTGAAAGCAAATCATTCTCCTTCTTTGCATAAATAAAATAAAATAGAACATATTTATAACCTCTCTGGTCATGAAGAGGCTTTCAGATTTTCTATTTACAAGTACATCTTTCTCAAAACTCCCCCCCTCCACCCCCATTTTCATTGTCTACTCCAAATGTTATATAGTCAGGACATTAGTATTCTGCCGTATTCTTTTTTGGTCAGAGAGATATAAAAAGGTAATAATTTGCATCCTCTTTTGAAGGGGACCTGCCCAAATTTTCTTATTTTTTTCCCCCTATTTTTGAGGGGTAGGTTTATCTCTTTTTGACATTCAAAAGGAATATTAAAATATAATAAATATGAATTACAAGAAGTCTCAAAGCTCTCTGTAAAGTCTCTCAGAGAGAAACTTTCTAGTATGACTGATTGCCATTGCTAAATCCATGTCGGAGAAAATTTTCACTCTGCCTTGACTTGGACTTCTACGGACAAACATTGATTGGCAGATAAAGGTTCTGGATTTGCCAAGCTGGCGGGCATGCCCTGGCTACCCCACAAGTAGTAGGGTCAAAGCTAGAGCAAAGTTAGATATGCCTGCTTTGAAACCCAGCTAAGGTTAACCTAAGGCTGTTTTTCCTCCCCTGGGTAAATTCGTCTTCCATTGGCCATCTCGGATGAATTTGAACACTAGGCCTCACTCACTAACAAGACCTGCTGAACAGTGATGCTGACTAAATGTTAATAAATGTTCTTTAACTTAGCCTTTCAATTCTTTTTCTGGTAGGGTTGTGCTACTGGACTTGTTTCCCTGTGTCTCCTTCCTTTAGAAAACTTCTGGAGTCTCTATACAGAGGATGTCTAACTGCAATTTCATTTAAAATGTGACTGTTTTCTTAAGGAAAGGTGTTTTTTCTTTGGTTTCCATTGTGTTCACAGTTACAGATACACATTTATATTTTTAATATTCTCTTCCTCAGGATGAATTTCATCCCTTCATTGAAGCACTTCTACCCCACGTCCGAGCGTTCGCGTACACGTGGTTCAACCTGCAAGCCCGAAAACGGAAATACTTTAAAAAACACGAGAAGCGCATGTCAAAAGAGGAAGAGAGAGCAGTGAAGGATGAGTTGCTAAGTGAGAAACCTGAAGTCAAACAGAAATGGGCATCCAGACTTCTGGCCAAATTACGGAAAGACATCCGACCTGAGTATCGCGAGGATTTTGTTCTCACTGTTACAGGGAAAAAGCCTCCGTGTTGTGTTCTTTCTAACCCAGACCAGAAAGGCAAGATGCGAAGAATTGACTGCCTTCGTCAGGCAGATAAAGTCTGGAGGTTGGACCTTGTGATGGTGATTTTATTTAAAGGTATTCCACTCGAAAGTACTGATGGAGAGCGCCTTGTAAAGTCCCCACAATGCTCAAACCCAGGGCTGTGTGTCCAGCCCCATCACATAGGAGTTTCTGTTAAGGAACTCGATTTATATTTGGCATATTTTGTGCACGCAGCAGGTAAGTGTGGTGGCAGCCAAATATTGTTCTACTGTTACTTAAAAATTTTCTTACTCATATATTTTTCTGTTATACTGATGACAGCCAGCTCTGCAGATGTATTTCTGACCTTGGTGAGGAGCCTGCCACACGTGTAGGGCAGGTGGGAGGGCTTCAAAGAGAGGCCCAGACCAGAACAGAAAAGCGTCAGCAGCCATACCTACCCTTCATTTAGGTGGGAAAGCATAGCCTTGAGTGAGTACTCTTGCTTCTGAGTTCTGTTGGTAAGTAGTTAGGAAAGCAGGTTGGCTTCCTGTAGGTACGTCCAAAACACACTCAGTGCTATTGACCAAAAGAAGAAAAGATGGGGAAGAACTAACAAAGGGTGTATTTGAAGTAGCAAAGGGACAAGTTTAAAAAGCACATTGAGTTTGTTACTGAGGACATATTCTTAGTACTTCTGTGCAAGAACTTTCTGAAGCCCACTCTGCCAATTAAAAAAAAAGTTGAGTCATAACCTATCAAATTACTGTTCTTTTACACTGGAAAAATATCATCAGTATAGCCATGTGAGAGCTGTGTGCATAGGAGAGCTTAGTATTTAAAGGAGCTGGGCGACAAATATTCTTATGAGGAATTGACAGAGAAGCTAATGTCAAAGGAACCAGTCTATGCAGTGTGGACCATCCTGAGACGAGGGATTGATTCAACTTGGATTGGTTAGAAAAGGGAATGAGTCAGTGTTGTCTTTTACAGACTCCTTGTGGGGGAAAAAAGAATAATTTGCTGGGGAATCTGCTGGAGATCTTGAGAGGCAGCCTGAAGGGAATGGGTTGAGAGTTGCGTGAAATAATGCATTTGTATATTCTCCTTTAGTCTTGCTTTAGACAAAAGGTACATTGTGTTATGTGAAAGCTCAAGTCTTGTGTAATTTGTTGACTTTTCATATGTACATACCGGTCTTGCTAGATTACCGTCATAGCGGTTACTTGAGCCAGATAGAAGAATGAAAGTTGTGGAATCTTACCAGTCGGTTATTTCACCCATCCATCCATCCATCTGTCTGTCTGTCTATTTGTCTGTCTGTCTATCCATCTATCCATCTACTCTATCCATTTATTTATTTGCTTATTTCATTTATTTATGTACCTATTCATTTGTTTTCCTGAGGAATGTAGAAAAAACAAACCAGAAGACCCATACTATACTATTTTTTTGGGGACTTTTGGCAACCTACAGAAATATGAAATTTTTCTTTGAGGAGTCATCAGGTCACAGGAGAATATCAATGTATACTTTGGGAATGTAACTATTGAATGCTTTCAGGTCCTTTCTGCGTGGGACTCTGGAGGGACTTGGCATGCCAGTCCTGTGATCTTTTGGACCCAGCAACTATTGATGTAGGGGAGGTGAATGTTTCCCAGAGTGTCATCTCTAAGTTGTTGTGATAGTTATGTTATCAAAGATTTCTTGGTAGAATGGAAAGTGTGTATATGCTTTGGCCAGTATGAAGAAAATTAAAAAGTGAGTATCCCAAGACGATCTCTTTAGCAAAACCCAGGTGTTTTTGCCCCAATATTGGCAGAGTATAATTTTAAATCTCTTTATATGTACATGTCACTATGGAGATGATGGTAGAAAAAAACAAGTTTCCCTCATTTCACCTGTTCCCCTTGTGGTGGTGGTGGGGTGGGGGGGAGAAAAGACTTGTTTATGCCGTGGTCTCCAATTACCATGACCCATCTTGTCTTGTGGTCACCTGTTAGAGATTTAAAAAAATCTAATAAATCCTTTGGTTTGACCAACTTAGAGATTGGAGTTTGCCAACAGGTGAAATTGCTTTTGATATACATCCTTCCAAATAAGAGAGCAGTGGGTTAAATTTGGTGCGTACCTCAGACATTCACGAAATTAAATATTCTCCTGGAGTTAAAAACCTTAAGCTCATCCAAGTTCGTCCTATTCTCTATGTGCTGCTTATTGACTCTTTTCCATGATATCATTGTTCCAATGGACTCTGCTAACATATTCGCCAGCAGATCCCCCTGTCTAGTAGGGCAGTAGTGTGTGTGTGTGTATGTGTGTGTGTGTGTGTGTGTGTGTGTGTGTGTGTGTGTGTGTGTGTGTTGGGGGCAAGGGGAGGATACATTTGTAAAATGACATTTAGAATGTTCTGAGTAGGTTGAGTCGCACCCTGAAGCCCTCTGGAAGATTGATTGGAAACATCACAGATCGGGCTACCTTTCAATTTGGTTTTCTTGATGTATCCCAGAATCCTTGGCAGTGCCTGAACGGTAGCCAACTCAGCGGCCATTGGTTCATACGGGCCTGCAGTCATGGCAGCTTCTGCTGTGTGAGCGACAGGAGCATTGCAAAAGAAAATATTAAGGGCCCTTTGTCTAAAAATGTTTTAGGCTGGATCTAAGAGAGTCCAAGACCTGTTATTTATGGAAGGGAAGTTGCCAATTCAAATATTAGGTAGGTTGGTCAACTTACATATAACTGATTTGACAAGCATCTGCTAGAATACTGAAGATTTGTAAACACTAAACAATGTTTTTACCTCCTTAAAAGTTTTGAGAACTTGCCAGTATTGGCAGGAGGCACAGACTCTGAAACGTGCCTTGAGCTATATGCCAAGACAATTGTGGCCTTTTTAGCCAAAGCACTTATTTATTTATTTATTTTCTCTCTCTCTCTCTCTCTCTCTCTCTCTCTCTCTCTCTCTCTCTCTCTCTCTCTCTCTCTCTTCCTCTCTCTCTCTCTCTCTCTCTTCTTCTCTCTCTCTCTTCCTCTCCTCTCTCTCTCTCTCCTCCCTCTCTCTCTCTCTCTCTCTCTCTGCCTCCCCTCTCTCTCTCTCTCTTTCTCTCTCTCTCTCTCTCTCTCTGCCCCCTCTCTCTCTCTCTCTCTCTCTCTCTCTCTCTCTCTCTCTCTCTCTCTCTCTCCCTCTCTCTCTCTCTCTCTCTCTCTCTCTCCCTCTCTCTTTCCTCTCTCTCTCTCTCTCTCTCTCTCTCTCTCTCCCTCTCTCTCTCTCTCTCTCTCTTTCCTTTCTCTCTCTCTCTCTCTCTCCCTTTTAAAAAAAAAATTGAGTATCTGGTTCCAGAAATGCCTTTTTCTCGATGACTTCAACAGCGACATACTCTATGCCTCCTAAAATGGACGCGGTAATTGTTGCTTAGCTCCCAGGCCTTTTCTTTGGTCGGAAATTGTAATCTTTGAGAGAACACACGTGTAAATACTTGAAGAATGCTTCTGCTAATGCAGATTCAATTATCTTATTAAAGGAACAATGTTTTATTCTTTCTCAGACGTGTTTGGATGCTGCAAAGCACAATACGGGATCTCGGTGCCAATTTCTTTTTGCTTGATGACGAGAAACGGAGTTATGTGAATTTGTTGTATTTTTTTTCTTTTTAAGAAAACCAAAATGTAGTGAAATTTGAGCGCTAACTATGAGGGCTGGCATTCCAACTCATAGAATGGAAGTATTTTTAAGACCCTTGGTTTAGGCTTCATTGGAGTTCTGTGGACTGTTTGTATAGCAACTTGAAGATGAGCATAGCATAGTCCATCGCCTTCTTTGTGGGAGTCAAAGCTAATTTATGGCCAGACTAGTCCGTTAGCACATGATCTGTGTCAGAATCTACAATATTCCCGGCACGTGGCAAGGTCACAATTTCAGTTGTTAAGGTCATCACCTTAGCCACCAGGCATGTGACCTTTCAGATAAAGTTAACCTTTGTTCATTAGTAGGCACTCAACCGAGAACTTTCTTGAGGTTTTTTTTTTCTTCTTCCCCTAACTGCCCCAGTTGAACTTCTGCTAAGGTAATCAGATGGTAGAAAAGATTCTGAATTGAGGGAGCTCCATTGGGTGAAAGGTCAGATTTTTTTAAGGACTTGTCTAGAGGATGGGGGTAGATGACTGTCTGTGGGCCACTGAATTGCTGTGGCCCCCCTGGGATTTCTGACAATTGTCATTAGCTGGTGTGGGAGGGAATTAAAGCTGCCCAGACAGCTGTGTACAGATGTGTGTATATGTGTGTCTAAGTGGAAGTAGTTTTAATTTGGAGGGTTTTTTTTTAATCTTTGGATAAATGAAGCAAATAAGATTATACTCTTCCATTGATGCCTTTGCTAATTTTTAAAACCATTTGGGAAGCCAGATCTCCCTGTGAATCTTAGTTGTTGTTGATTTTTTAAAGAAGGGGATGAAGATAATGTCTGCCAGATTCGTCTTATAGTTATTGTTACTCAAATGACATTACCATGCACATAAGATGCTATCAAGCCTTAGAATTCTCTCTATACACCTATTATTATCATCGTTTCTTCTCCTCCTCCTCCTCCCCCTCCTCTTCCTCCCCTTCCTTCTCTTCCTCTTTCTTCTCATTACTGTTTCCTCTGAACTGTACTGCCTTCAGTTTCCCCAAGGTCATAGTATCCCAAGTGACCTTAACGTTCCACCTGAAAGATACCACTTGGTTGTTTTTCTTTAGACGTGATTGACTGTACATACTAATAGGCAATTGAGAAGATTCTTTCATTTAAAAGTAACTTGAATACCAGTTATAACAACAGCAACAAAAACCTGTCCGGCCTTTTGGGTGCTTTGTGCTCTACTAAGATCCTTATTTACTTTATTCCACTTTGACTCTCCGCCAGATCCTGTGAAGCAATGTTGTCACTACCCACGTTGTCCGGCTGAGGAAAGCGAAGCTTTAGGAGTGAGCTGCCTGGGCCAGGGAGGTGGGACTCAAGCCCAGATTCCCACTCCTTCTTCTCCCCACTCTATGTCTCTTAGTGAGAACCCTTTCCAATGCCTGTGTCTTTCTTTTTGCCTGTATTTGTATCCCGAGGGCTTAGCACAGTGCCTGGCACACAGTGAGCATTTAATATGGGTTTGCTGCCTTGCCTTGTAATGCAGAAGGAGCACGTCTTCCTTGTAAAGGGCAGTGTTTGTGAGCAGTTGTTACTGGTAGTAATGCAGTTGGCCCTTGTCCTTTTCCCATGGTGGCAGCA